CACCATGTACTTCTGCAACACCTGCGGGCAGCCCCTCTGTGCCCCGTGCCGCGAGGAGACCCACCGCGCCAAGATGTTCACCCGCCACGAGATCGTCTCCCTCTCCAAGCGCACCAAGGACATCCACAAGAAGTGCCGTGAGTGCCGTGCCGCACCAGGCTGCGCTGTGCCACGCTGCACCGTGTTGTGCTGCACCACGCCATGCCAGGCTGATGTCCCTGTCCCTTGCAGCGCTGCATGAGGAGCCCTACATCATGTTCTCCACCGAGAAGAAATCCATGCTCTGCATCAACTGCTTCAGGGACATGCAGGGGTGAGCAGCCCCGTCCCCAAGCCTGCCCCCATCCTGTCCCATGCCCTGACGCTTGTGCCCGCAGGGAGAGCCGGGCGCACTGCATCGACATCGAGACGGCGTACATGCAGGCCTGCCAGCGGCTGGACCAGGCAGTGATGGTGGGCAGGGGCTGGCGGGTCTTGGGGTAGACACAGGGGCACGGTGCTGCCCACAGCGCTGCAGCCACCCCACCACCCCCGGGCAGGCTGGGAAGGAGCTGCAGACCTCCACGCGCGAGGCCATCGTCCTTCTCAAGGCCATGATCGAGGAGGTGCGCAACAGTGCCAGCGAGGAGGAGGCAGCCATCAACTCCCTCTTCGGCCGCATGCAGGTGCGAGGCAACTGCCTGCACATCGTGCCCCGCACCCACGGGTGCCCGAGGCACAGGCACGGCAGATCCAGGGCAGCAGGAGGGGACCAGGGTGGCTGCGGGACACAGGGTGGCCATGCCGTTTGCAGGAGCAGCTCTCTGAGAGGAAGAAGACGCTCCTGAAAGCCGTGCAGAGGTGAGGGGACAGGGGCTGAGCCCTTTCCTGGGGGTGTACCCCCCCTCCCGGGGCATATTGGGGTGCCCTGGGGCCAGAGGGCTCCCCGGTGCCCCACAAAGGCTGTGCCTTGCCCCGCTCTGCTGCAGCCAGCATGAGGAGAAGGAGAAGGCGTTCAAGGAGCAGCTCGCCCACCTCGCCTCCCTGCTGCCCACCCTGCAGGTAGGGCTCCAGGCTGGGCAGGGATGCCCCGGCCTCAGGAGCTGGGCAGGGGCCGGGCTGCCACGGCCCCAAGGGATGCTGGCAGTGACACCCCCCTGCGCACAGGTCCACCTGGTGACCTGCTCGGCCTTCCTGAGCTCCGCCAACAAAGCTGAGTTCCTGGACCTGGGCTATGTGAGTGGTGCCAGTGCTGCGGGGTGGCCAGGGCATCCTGCCGCGGTGCCATGGGGTGTCCGGTGCACCCTGCCCATGTGCCATGGGGTGGCTAGGGCATCCCACCACTGTGCCATGGGGTGTCTGGTGCACCCTGCCCATGTGCTGTGGGGTGGCGAGGCCATCCCACCACAGTGCCGTGGGGTGTCCGGTGCACCCAGACCAGCAAGGTAGAGCCCTGCCACCCACCTAGGGCCAAGCCCCTGACTGCAGCACCCGGCGGGCAGCCCCGGCCCCAGCCGTGCTCACCCCCATCTCATCCCCCAGATCAACAGCGAGTACCGGGCAGAGTTTGCCCGCTGCCTGGAGCCTCCCCGGCCCCCGCCGCTCCGTGGTGGGCAGCGCTGGTGGCATCGGTCCTGGCATCACTGGCACAAACATGTGAGGTGCTGGGATCACACCCAGGGCTGGGGTACACCCTGACACGTGTGCCACGCATCCCCCTGGGCATCCCACCGGGCCCAGCTTGCCCTCACTCCTGCCCTTGAGCCCGTCACCTCGGCAGTGGCACGGGGACAGCAGGGAGCACAGCTGCGCTGACAAAGGACAGGCGCGGGGGCTTCAAGTGACACTTCTGGGAAGCGGGGCGGGCAGCAGGGCTGGCAGCAGGGTGCCCAGCTGAGCCTGCACCCTGTCCCCAGCCCAGCTCCCCGTCACGGTCCCCGGAGGACTCTGCCCCCGCTGCTGTGCCGGGGCCAGCTCCTGCTCACCCGCACGCCCACGGCGCCGCAGCCTCTTCGCCCACCACTATTTTTATCAGAATTTCAGGGAAGTGCCCGGCCGTTCCTCGCCCAGGATATATTTAGGCCCATTGATGTCACAGCAGCACCAGCCCTGCCAGGCACTCCCGGCCGGAGAGGACAAACAGGCACTGCCACCCCATGGGGACTGCTCCTCGCCCCCAGCTGGGCTCGGTGCTGCAGGGTGGCTGAGCTCCCGGGGGGTGCTGGCCCCGGCACAGGCAGGGGGAGTGCGGCGCTGCACGGTAGGACCGATGGCGGTGGGGCAGCAAACCCGGGACGGTGGGCAGCGCGGGGAGACTGCGGGATGGGGGGAGACGAAGGGGCAGCAGCGCCCGCCAAGGGGCCAGGAGACGCCAGCAGTGAGGGAGCGAGCCACATCCTTCCCTTTAGAACCTGGAGCGCGCCAAGCTCAGCCCCTGCCTTCTCCCTGCCGCAGCCGGTCCCAAAGGCATGGGCATCAGGACAGCAGCCCACAGAAACCTGACTTTCGGGGCGGTGTAAGGCGCCTCTGACTGACCCTGTGTGCTCGGGCATGGGAAGGGACATACGGGGCTGGTGCGTCCCCAGGCAGCCCGGGGGCGAGGGGCGGCGGGGCTGAGCCGATGGCGTGGCCCCTGGCACCTCGCCCCCGCTCGCCTGCAACGCGCTGCTGTCACCCTCTCCGCACAGGCTCCCTGGTGGCCAATGCTCCAAGACCCTCATGGTGCCCGGCTGTCCTCCCGACAGCGATAAAATGTCCGCTGGCCCCATAGTGCGGAAGCCGACAATGCACCGGTACATCAGCACCAAGGTCCTGCTGGCCGAGGGGCGCGAGACCCCCTTTGCCGAGCACTGCCGCAACTACGAGAACACCTACCGGGTAGGGAGCACAGGTCGGGGTGGGACGCGGTGGGACGGGACAGGAGAGGGTGCTGCTCACGTGGTGGCTGCCCTCTGGCTCCTGCCAGATGCTGCAGACGGAGATCCAGGGCCTGAAGGACCAGGTGCAGGAGCTGCACCGCGACCTCACCAAGCACCACTCACTCATCAAGACGGAGATCATGAGCGAGATCCTGCAGAAGTCCCTGCAGATGGACGTGCAGATCGCGGCTCACTACTCCGCCGTGGAGATGATGCGCAGCGTCTTCGAGGAGGTACGGCTGGCACGTCCCGGCAGAGCAGGGTCCCCCCTGTGCTGCACTGCGGCA